TCGAACCCGTGGGCTCAGGCAATCCATTCACCTCAGCCCCCCAAAGGCACGGGATTACAGGCTGAGCCACCGAGCCCGGCTACTGTCTTTTCTAAGGCCATGCCCCCGCCCCTCCCTCACTCAGACCCTGGCCCTGTTCTTCAGTGGGCTCTTTGTCTCTGAACTAGTGCCAACATTTCCTGATGAAATCGACCAGGCCCATGCCACGGATCAAAGGAATCCCAGGGAATTCCGGATTGCACTGGGCTCATACTGTTGATCTGGATTCACCTCACAAAATCTGAGAATGTGCCCAGATCATTTCAGTTGTTGCTGTGATTTAGGCTGATTCTAGAAATGTGTGCTGAGCTGTTATGGCATGCAAAGCAACTGCGTGCTAGGTGTTGCGAAAGATTCAGAAAATCTCTTCTAACAGATCAGAGCAGCCAATTCCAGCCTATAACCTTCTTCAGGAGCTCCCAGGGCTGCATGATAAGGTCTCCTTTGAGTATGACGTTCGGAGTTCTCGGTCTGGTTAGGGTCCCTCTTTCCAACACCTGCCCACACGTGCTGTGCGCCAGCCACTAGAGCTCACTGTTGCCCCAGTACCAGACCCAACCAGGCCCACCATGCCTTGCTTATAACTCTTCCTCTGCCTGGGTGCCCCTGCCCCTCCTGTTGCGATCTTGCCTGTTTACTTAAAAATAAAAAGTACCACGTGCATGGGATGGACTATTCAAACTGCACGGAAGGCTGCACAGTCAGTGCCTTCTGTTTTCTGAAACTGTAGTTCCCTCCAGGGCAGCCACCATGTGGGACCATGCTGGACTCCCTTTCTTGCCTTTGTTTCTTGGAAATCATCTAGTATACCTGTCCAGTTAGAATTGCCACATTAAATATTTGGAAGACTGCGCAGCATTCCTCTACATGATGATGCCATCATTTCTTTAGCCGTTCCGCTGTCCATAGATATCTAGGTTGTTCCCACTCTTGCTGTGTGTCTTTGGCCCCTGTGCAGAGGGGTCTCGGTAAGACCCAGCTCTGGCACCCCCTTCCTGTCTGCCTCCAGCTCCTTCCAAGACCCCATTGAAGGGATTGTGGCACACCTTCTTTCTCCTTCTTGCTGACCACCCGGTCACCCGGGAGCTTATGGTGCTTGGGGTGCCTCTGTGAGCCCCTGTCCCATGCAGGGGCTCTGGTGGTCATGGACCTGGTGAGGGACTGAGCTCCCCTGTTGCTGCCTGCTACGTGCGGAGCTGCGTGTGGATGGATGAACGTGTTTCTATGGCAATAGACTTCGGCAGTGTCGTTCTCACTGGCCTCCTCCTGTTTCACCAGAAGGATGGCTCCTCATCTTGATGGAATTTAGCTTAAACACATTTGAGGGGACAGGTGCTTGGGTGTCCATTGCTAGGAAATGGGTCTAGGCTCACAGGCTCCCCCGAAACTAATAGCAGTCGCCACTATTTATGAAGCTAAGCACCGAACAAAGGACTAGGGCTCTATGCTCGTGGGGTAGAGTCACTTTGCGAGGCAGGCACTGTTGTCCCTCCTTTTAGACAGGGAAACTGAGGCTCAGAGTCATTTGGCAAAAGTTGCTCCGACTCCATACTTGAAAAGCTGGGATTGAAAGTCAGGTGTGCTTGAATCCGGACCTGAGCCTGTAACCACTGGGCCGACCTGCCTTCTTAGAGAAGAAGGAAACCGAGTGAGGGAGCGGGCAGACAGGTCACCTCCCAGGCCTTGTGCCAGTGGCTGGCTGCCTCAGAACTGAACCGAGGCTCACACCCAGAAAGACGATGGCCGCCATCAGGCGTCTGCCACCGAGGAGGCACAAAGGGCCCCTTTGAAGGGCGCATCCAGGAGCACCCCTCCTGGTCTGCTCCTGAGCCAGGCATCCAGGGGGCCGGCGGGCGTTTCTGGCTTAGCTGTCTGGCCAGAACTCCGAGCAGTGGTCTGAAATTCTTTCCCCGGACAGATCACACTTGGCCAGAATGTGTCACTTTTAGATTGATGTGGCATTGAAATGTGCGTCAGGTATCCTGATGCGACCTGGGAATCTACAGACTCCCCTGGGCCTCTCTTGCTGCACAGTCGAGCCTTTGAAAAGTATATTGATTTCCCTCCTCCCCGTCCCTGCTTTTGCACTTTGGATGAACCTTGTTTTCGAAGAACAGTAGAAGGTAATTTTCCTGTGCTTGCCAGCTGGCCTGTAATTGAGCAATTCCAATAACACCCACTGTAAAGTCTAATCGAAGTAAACAGGAAAATATGATTTACAATCTGGACAGCAAGTAAATACCAGGGTGCAATTAATTTCTACACAGAGCAGCAGATACTAAAACATGTTCCTGTGCTGAGCAGTTTGTTCTTAATTACAGATTAGGAACCACCTTTTTATTTATTTATTGCTATTATCGTCACTATTTTTTACTTTTTGATGGTGATCGTCCGATTCCTTGTATCCTGTGACTTTCTTTGCAGGGTTAGCCACAGAAGGATGGGCTGGGGAAACAGGATCAGAGATGTGAATTTGTGAGGAGTGATTTTCCAAGCCTAAACTGAAGGCTACACTCCTTCTCCGTTTGCTCGTTGGAAAAGATGGTGGCTTGGGAGGGGGTGTGGATGGCTGTACGGAATGACGGTGCCCAGGGGGTTCGAAAACTGCCAGAAGTTCACCTGGTTTGGTTCATTCTGGAAAAAGGACACAAGTCCGAAGACCCCCAGTATTGCAACTATGTTGATGTGGAAATGTGGCACTTCTGAGGGCAGGAAATGTGTGCCCTTCAATGGGTCCTCCTGAGTCTTCCAGTAGCTTCTGTTCATAACTGGGAGGAGAAGGGGAGCCACGTGCTGACTGTGAGTCCCCTACTCCCTGTTGGCATCCCGAGGGCCGATGTCTTCAGAGTTGGGTGTGGGGAGGTGTGCTGTGACCCTCAGCCTGCCTTAGAGCACCTGGTGTGCTGAAGCTGCCTGTAAAGCCAGCTCTGTGACAAGAAGTCACATGACTTGAGCTCACCACAGGGACGGCAGATAGCCACCCAGACATCGGGGTAGATCTTGAAGGTCTCATGTGGCGGGGCCCCAACTGGTTGTTGTACGTACCAGGACGTTGGCTTTAGGGATGCCCCCAAGGGTGGCATTGGGGTAAGGTAGGCACTGAGAAGATGATTCTGGGCTTTGGTGACCCTCTCAGAAGGCATGTCCTTTAGCAGAAAGCTGGTTCCATTCCTGTGGGGGAGAAGCTGCTCTCTCAGGACTCTAGTCTTCCTTAGTCCTGAATCCCTTTGTCTTCCTTTTGTCTTTCCAGGGAGTTGACCCCATTTGGCCATTTCCTGGAAGAGCCCCACCCCAAGGGTGAGTGGCCAATGGGAAGCTGTTTCTGCTGTTGACGTCAGTCACCTAGGAAGTGCTCAGGCGTCGTCTCTGCCCATGTCTGCCCAACTGAAGATGGCTCATGCCCACCCTGGGATGGAGCCCAGTGCCTGAGGTCCTTATCATGGTGATGATCCTGAGTAAAAGCCTCGGCAACCAGGGAGCTGACTCCATAGCGTGCAGGACCCTCCACCCTGAACTGGTAAGGACCCAGTAACTTCGCTTCTGTGATGACCTTTTGGAGGCCTGATGTGCAGGTGGGGCTGTGGACTGGCCATCACAGTTGAGTCCAAAGTGCCCAAGAGCAGAGCTCTGCCAGACAGCCCAGGCTGGGGAGGCAGGGCCAAGAAACCCAGAGCTTGCCTAAGTACTGGCAAGAAGGAAGAGTAGCTCAGCCCAGATTAGCAGTCATCTGGTGGGTGAGGAGGGGAAGGCCATCACCCGGGGAAGTAATACCCAGTGTGGATCTGCCCCCGCCCTGCCAGGCCCAGACCGACATTCCTTCTGTCTCCGCCCATGAACGGGAGGTAGTTTCCAGAAGGGAGGTGGTGCCCCAGATGGGGGCCGAGATAAGGCCATGCCTCCAAAGGGTGGTGCTGCTGCGTCATTGCTGCTTCAGGCATGTCAAGAGTGGGACGTGATGGGGAGAGAAGGCCCAGTCTGGCAGCCCAGGTGGCGGGCCCTGGTGACAGCTGGATTGCCCTCTGACTGCCCTCTGCCTTCTGACCAAGTGGTGGTGCGCTGGGCGGAGAGGCAGATAACTCGGCCCTCTCAGACTGTGAGCGAAACAGCCTCTGGCAGCTGAGTCCTGTCAGCAGACCCAACCCTCCTTCTGAGCCCAGTTCTCAGGAGTGAGTGGGGGCCGCTCCCTTGCAGAGGGAGCAAGAAGCCACACTCAGGCACAAACACTTTTATGCAGGAGTTTTGCAGATGGGCAGATCCTCCCGTGATCGGGACGGGGGCTGACTGCCCGGGGTCATGTCACACAGGATGCCTCCTGGCACCCCTCAGGGCCCCTGATGAGAACCCACTCGGAGACCCCTTGGTGGGCTCAAGACTAGTAACACTCAAGGCTGGACAGACAGACCTAGGCCTCTGGCCCTGGCCGAGCTGGGAAGCCCTGCCTTCATTCCTGGGGCCCTGCCACATGGTGGGCACTGGACTGGGGACTCCAAGACAGGATGCGTCAGAACTGGGCCTTGCACTCATCACCCTCGAGAGGCTCCTGGTCAAGAGGGAGGGCGGCCCACACAGATGTGCGGATCCCATGAGCAGCGGCCGGAGTGGACTGTAAGGAGTCCAGGGACGGTGTCGAGCCATGAGGCTGGCTCGGCCCTCACAGAGCAGGCATGCTCGACTTGGCCTTGAAGGACAAGTAGAAGGGAGTCAACCGGGAGCCAGGGCAGTGACTGCCTCACCAGCTCTGCCTCCTTCCCCGCCGCAGCCCCGCTGCCTGGGCCTGCGTTCGGGGCTTTTCCTCTGCCCAGTGTCTGCACACCCGTCTGGGTGGCCCACCCTGCCTCAGGTCTTTCCAGGTGTGTCTGGGGTGCCACTCTGCGTGTCAGCTGCAGCCTGGGAGGCCTGCATGGGGGCCCCAGTGCCTGTCCACACCCAGCTTCAAGGACAAGGGCCGGCTTTGCTCCTCCCTGCGTCCCAGCACTGCCAGGGCGGGGCAGAGAGCAGGCACCTAAGGAGTGTTTGTTTGAGGGTGGCCTTGTTCATTGCAGCAAGGAGCAGAGCTGCTACGACAGCAGGTCTTCTGTCGCCACCACTTCCTTTCCGGTCGCATTTGCTACGTGTCTGTAACTCGGTTACTTCTTACCTTCCCCACTACCAGCGTCCTGGTTCCACCCGCTGTCCCCTCTCACGAGGATTCTTGTGGTAACCAGGCCCTGCATCTGCCTTTTTTTATCTGGTTCTCTACTCAGCAGCCAGAGAGAATCCCAGTGAGTGCTGGCCTCCATGTAGAAGCTCCCACTGGCTTTGCGTCTAATACTGAGCAAACACCAAGGCCCCTAAGTCTCATCCAAGTGACTGCTCGACCTCGTCTCTGCTACTGTCCCCACCCTCTGTTCTGTCCTCCCTGGCCTCCCTGCTCAAATGCGGCCAGTGTGAGACTGCTTCAGGGCCCTTGCATTTCTTCCATGGCCTGGAGCTCTCGCTGCATAGCAGGACTCTCTTCCCTCCCTCCATCTCTGGTCACTCAGCTGAAAATTTAATCCTCCCACCAGCCCCTACCTGCTCCACTCCCACTCTCTCTGTCCTCTTTCCCCGTCTTCTCCCTCGTAGGCACTTATCACTTTTAGCGTTGTACCTGTGGGTCTTGTTTATTGAATGAGTCCTTGTACTAGAATGGGAACGTCATGAAGACAGGCCATGTCTTTCCTGCTTGTTGCTGCATGCACCCGGGCCCAGCGCATGGCAGGTGCTCTGTGGATGTTTGTGGAATGGATGGTCATGCAGATGCCTGGAGCCCAGCTGTTTCTCCATTGCCATGGTGTTAGTCCCTCTCTGGCTGCTGCTCAAGTCTGTGGCTGAATGGGTGCAACTAGAGTAGCTCTGACCAGAAGGGAGCAAGCCCAAGGGTGAGGGGCCATCTGGAGGTCCCAGGAGGAGCCCCTCCCAGGTCCGGCTGTGCTGTTGGCCTCAGTGGTCGCCTCTGTGCTTGGTGCCATGTCAGGGTGGGACCGGCTGGTGTTGGCCACGGAGCTGGTTCCCCAGCACATGGGCTGAGGCCCGCCGAGCTGCTCGTCCAAGAGATGTGGCCTGCGTCCCTGCCAGAAGGAGCACAGCCTCCAGCCCGGGAGGGAAGATTCATCGTTTCAGAAAGGGAGAGCAGGCGGGCTTGCTGGAAGGGATTGTGGCCTCACAGATGAGGATCTTTGCTTTCTTCCCAAGCCCTCTCCTCCCTTGTTGGAAAGTATCCTTTCTGCTGCTGCTTGTTATTGGCCAGTCAGGGCCCAGAACCACCCAGCGTGGTGCTTTGGGCCCATCTGTCTTCTTCCTCTTCTTCCCTTCCCTTGGCTCCAGATGGGAGGTCTGTGGGGAGTGGCCCCTTTGGAGAGTGGCTCTCGTGTCGGTCAGTTTGCTGATGCACCCACTACACATTGGCTACATGTCGGCACTGGCCTGGCCCAGGGCTACCGCACTGTGGGACAGCCAGGGGGGTGCTGGGAGCGTGACAGCACCAAGGGCCTTGGGAGAGCACTTACAGAGGCTCAGTCTTCCCCTTCCTCTGCTGGAGCCTTATGCCACCTGCTGAGGAGCAGCGGCACACCCCTCTCTACCCTTGTGTAAAGACAGGAAACTGTGACTCAGAGGGCCCAAGGGAGGGGACGCCTAGGTTACAGACTTCAAGACCAGGCCGTTGTCTTCTCCCCAGTACCTTCCGGGCACAGGTCCTGGTTCTGGAGGCTGTGACCATCTTGGGGCTCCTCCAGGCCTTGGGGAGAGAAACATGCTCTAAATAACGGAAGAGCCAAAATAATCTCAGCCTAGTGATGACTTCCATGAGATAGAATGTGAGATAAACTGATGTTAGCGTTTGCTTTAAACAGCCAGCAAAGGTTCAGAGGAAGTCGGTGGGTTTTGCTTCAGCTTCCTAAACTGGTAACATCATCCTCATGTAAATATCATCAAGATAGCAACAGGAAGGATGGACAATAGTTTTCCTTTTGTTTTCCTCTCAGACTAAGAAGATAATAAGTGGAGGTTTAAGATTTAAAAAGAAAACATGATTCTGGAGAGGCCGCGAAGTGCATCAGCACATCCACAGGCCACTTTGGAATGATGGGGGCGGGTCCCAGAGTGCTGCACACCATGGGCTTGGTGGCTGCGTTTCGGTCACAGAGGCAAGAGGGTCTAAAAGCACAGTAGAAAAGTGCCTGGGTCCTCGGAGGAGCAGCCCACAGCCTCCTCTGAGGCCTGCTGAAGAACAAGAGGACTTGTCTTCCTTCCCACTTAGGGGTCCGTGTCATGGTTCTCCGGTTCTCCTTTTTTTTGAGAAAGCAGGATTTATTGAGAGAACAGAAAAGCTCCCATGGTGGGAAGGGACCCGAAGGGGTTGCCCTCTGTTTTTTTTTATTAAAAAAAGCTAAATGTTAGTGATGTGATATCTTTCCTCCCAAGAAAGGTATGGGGGAAAAAAAGGACTTACCAGCACTAAACCTTTCCTGGCAAGGGACTCCCATGCCCAGGGAGAGAGGGCCCCAAGACACAGGCTGGACCTGCAGCCCTGGCTTAGATTGCACCGCCGGCAGCCACGACCATGGCCAGTTCCCCTTTCTCCCACTCCGCCCAGTGCTTTCCTCGGCCTAGTGGGCTCTTCCTTCCAGTGTGCTAACATTAGCTGCTCCCCTGGAAGGCAGCCCAGACGTTTGACCTTGAGAGCACTGTGCTCCCTCGCTCCTTCCCGCACACCCACGCTCGGGCCAAGGGCCCGTTCTCTTGTTTCCAGAGTGACCACCTCCCTCGGCTTGCCCAACCTTCTCTCCCCAGGCAGTGTCCCCGCCTTCTTTAAAGACTGGAGACCGAAGGGAGCTGGCCGGCCACTCCTGGGCAGAGAGAGGGTGGGGCATGGCTCCAGGCTCCTGACTTCCTCCACCACAACTGACACTGGTTTTCTGGGGGGCCGATCTGATAGGTAGAAGAGGTATCTCCTTCTGTGCTTGTCAGATTAGGGTGCCAAGGCTAAGTGACTTGTCATGTCCGAAGAGTTAGTGGCCACATCAGGCCTTGCACCCAGCTGTTTGGGCCCTGGCGTCTTCATACTTCTGTTCACATTCATTTGGCACTTTGGGCTCAACAGCCCAGGCCAGGATCCCTGGCAGGCCGCAGGCTGGCCTGGAGTCAGGACTCGGGAGTGCCCAGAGTCTGAGGTTGCGTGCTGCCTTTCACCCCAGGCAAACAAAGACACCAAGTGGCCAACCTGTGTTCTGGCTAACCCCAAAGCCTTGGGACTCAGGGCTGCTGTTATCTCCAGCAGCATCTTTGAGAGCCTCTACCCATGGGCACCGTTCTCTTATCAGTTGCTCTTTCTTGTCTCAGGCCTGGACCTCCCTTCTTCCTGCTGCCAGGGTCTCGCCGAGTTCCAGCTTAGAAGCATGGGTGCTCTGCTTGTCCCCCTCAGTGCGTGAGTGAGAGCTTTTCCCTGATGCTTTGTGGCTCCTTGTAACACGGTGTCAGGAGAAAGAAAAGTGGCTTGATTGCTTTAGTTGATCACCTGCAGAGGAAAGTTACGAGAAGAGCCCTGGTTATGGCCTGGCCCTTTCTGCATGGGTTAGTTCTTCATTCAGAGCCTTAACTGTGTCTTTATTTAAGTCAGGCTTCTTTCTGTAGTCAGACAGATGACTCTGAAGCCTCAATTTGATTTCCAGCTTTTGCCTTTCCTACGAGGATCTGATTCCAAACACCTTCTCTCATGATCTGAGGCGTCTCACGGAGATGAGGCTCTGCCCCGGGGTGGGCTTGGGAACAGAGGCTTCACAGTGGGAGAAATACAAAGGAGAAATGTGTTCTTGCTTCGTTTCACTGCAGACCTCAGCCGGGGCCCGGGTGCTCACTTCTGTGCAGACACTGTCTTGTGAAACCTCAGAGGGCCGAGTTTCCCTCAGGGCCACGAGGGCCTCACCACACAGTGATGTGCTCATGGCTTCCTGCTGTGGGTATGGAGGGTTCAAAGGGTTAGAAAGGCTGACTGCAGGAATAGTGCATGTCAGTAGGGATTTCTTATATGCTAGGTAGACCGGGAATAAAAAGACTCTGGCTAACCTGGAGCCTCGCGGGAACTCTGTTGGCTTGCCATGTGGAATCGGACCCAGGAAAATCTGCCAGTGGTCAGGGTGTCCTGGGGCCTGACACCCTAGGAAGCTGTCGGGTACGTGATGTTCTGGCCTGGCCATCGCTAGCCAAGCCTCACAGATGGGGCTCAGAAAGCAAAACGGGCCCTGATCTGATCTTGAGGTCAAGCGCGCATTCAGGTTCTTCATCTGTAAGTGGCAGAGGTTGTCTCCAGCTCATTGACATGAAAAGAGAGCTCACTGCAGTGAAGGGAGGTGGCTCACAGGGCTGGAGATAGGGCAGGGCCAGGGCAGCTGAGAGGTGCTTGGGCATCGGCCCCAGTAGCCTCTGGGTTCAGGAGTCAGAACCATGGAGCCAGGGAGCGTCTGGTCAGCCGGGCCTGATTTCCGTGTCCATCCCGTGGCCAGGAGGGGTGGAGGCATCTTGGCCAACAGTCCCCCAAGACACTATCTACCGACGGGGGAGGTGTCCCAATGCAAGATTGGAGTGCTGCCGGCAGAAGAAGGGGTGCTGCACCACGTTAGCCGTGCAGTTTCATCTGCTCAGTGAGAGGAGCAAGGCATGGCTCGCCTAGAACAAGGGAAATGAAGGAGTCGTCCCTTTGAGTTTGAGAACCCCAGCGGGGGCTTTTCCCGGTCTGTGGGCAGTGTTGGGTAGCGGAGGATGGTGTGAGAAGTCTGGGCCAGCCTGGGGGCAGCCCTGACTCCCTCAGGCTGGCGCCCTCAGCCCTTACCCCTGAGCTTTGGCTATGTCTGAGCCCAGCGATCTGGGGAGGCAGCAGGTTCTGCCCAGTGCAGATCCATGCCATTTGGCCCAGCCTCCGCTGGGTGTGTGGTACAGGAGCGAGACAGGCAGGCCGGCCCCGACAGGGAGCCATCGCCATGCTGCCTGCTCTGTGCTGGAGATGTTGTGAACAAGACCGCTGCCTTTCCTCAAGAAGCTTCCATTCCCACGGAACAGAAAAGAAGCACAGGGACAGAGGAGCCGACACACAGCATGCGTGTTAAATAAGCTGGTGGGGAAGGAGAAGTGCACGGGCTGGGAGGTACTGCTTCAGCCAGGATGACCGGGGAATGAGGCTGCAGAGCCTGTTATGCAAAGATCCCAGAGCAAGGTCCCAAGATGGCGGCAACTGGCCTGTCCCTGCCAAGCGCGACATGAGCGAGGAGGGGAGGTTGGGGGTGCCCGAGTTGACTCATGTGGGCCTGGCAGGCTGTGGGGGACAGGGTTAGCTTGCTTTTATTCTGCTTCCTGTGAAACATGGTTAGAGAGAAGTGATGTGGTCTGACCTCTGCTTTAAAAGGATGACTTTGGGTTCTGGGTGAAGGGTGGAGAGAGGGGTCCAGTGCATTCAGCAGGGACTGGTGGTGGCTTGGTGCAGGGGCAGCGGTGACATAGCCTGGGAAACGGCGGGCTGCTCTGGGGATCTGCGGCAGATTCCAACAGATCCTGAGTGAATAAATGAGCCAGTGAGTGAATGGGAGCCTGGGGGGAGGCCTGTGGGCCCATTGGCTGCTCTCTGTTGGCAGACAGACCCCAGTCTCTGTGGCAAGGCGGCTGGCACCCACACGCATTCACTGGAGGGGCCTGGGTCGCGGAGGGCCCCGAGGTGCCCTCAGTCTGGAACACACCGGCTTGCTGGGAGGTGGCCAGCGAGCACTGTTCACTGGCATGGCAGGCGCGGCTCGCCGCGTGGCTTCCTGCTTTTGTGTAGAAAACCCCAGCCCCCTTTGTGGCACCGTGTGCCAGTGAGGTAAGCACACCACACCAGCGTTCCCTCTCTTCCACTGTCCCCAGCCCCATCCCAGTGCTGGTGTCTGCGGCCTCCCACCCGGCTGCCTTCGCCAGCCTGGCAAGCACAGGGGGTGGGGCTGTGGTTCCCCAGTGGGTGTTTTTCTGTGCCTGGGCGCTCCCTTAGCGCTGGGGGTACCTCCCTTGGCAGGCAAGGCCGTAGCCCGACTTCCCTCTCTGAACCTGGGAGCGAGGGTCCTGCAGGGCTGGGCTCCTGGCTGTGTGGGCAGCGCAGCCCCCATGGCGGGGCTCTCGCGTGTTGGACTCCATCGGATGCTGTCGGCCTGGGCTTTCGGTTGTGCCATGTCAGCCGGGAGGAAATCAGGTGCAGCGGTTTTTGACTCTTTCCAGTTATTTCCACAGATGGTGTAGAGCAGATGGTTATGTCACTGTGGAATCTGGGAGGGTGACCTGGCTTATTGGTGTCAGGATCATTTTAAACTGAGGAAGGGGGCCTGGAAGAGGACTGCTTCCCGCCCCATTCACCCCCTCCCGCAAAGCTGCTCTGGTCCTTCGACTTGTTCAGGTGTGATACCCAGGGAGCTGGCCCTGACCCCACCCCCGCCCCAGCAGGCGTCCTGGGTACCCCCTCCAGCCCCAGTCTGTGTGTTGTGTAATGGCTTCTGTGCGTGACTGTGTTTCCTTGAAGTGTGAGTCCTCCCTTGGTGTTCCCAGCTGGTCAGGATGGACCCTTAGTAACTCAGTGGAACGGATGTACTGCTGAGCAAGTGCAGATTGGGTCGCTGGGGATGGGGTGAGGGAGCTGAGACGACGCTCCTGCCACCCTCTTATCTGGGTGGACAGGTACTCCTGGTCGGCCCCCCCTCTTCCAGGCCTTGAGGAGCCAGGGTCTGGGCTCTTTCCCAGGCCTCAGCCTAGAGGCCCAGTCTGTCCCTGCCGTTTGAGGGGGCTGGAAGGTGTTGGGGGCTCCTCTCAGACGTTAGGACTTCTGTAACGGGCTGATTTCATGGGGTTCAAGAGCTTCCTTCACCGTTGCAGAAACCCCAGCGCAGCCTACACATAAGTAGTTGTCAGCACGTGTCACTGGAGGAGCTGGCACATGAGTGAGTGGGTGAGCCTTGGGAGCGCTCGAGGCCGGCCTTCTTCCTGGGTCTCGACTGGGCAGTCTCTTCCTTGCCAGAGGTCAGAGCAAGCCTCACGGTCTGGTTATCACCTGGGTATCACCCAGCACCAGAGTGTCCCCTGCCCAATTGACAGTGCAGCCATGGAGCCAGTGCTCTGGACTTGGGGTTCTTCTAGGCCTCATTGGCCTGTTGGCACCCCATGGTCAGCTGAGGCTGGGCATGGGGCAAGACAGAAGATGCGGAAAGGGAAGCCATTGTGGAAATGTAGTGCCAAGGAGTTTAAAAGCCAAAGCGGTTATGTTGAGACCAAATAGAGCCCTCGAGTTTCAGCTCCGAGAGAATGCCCTGGGAGGCCTTGTAGCCACAGAGTGGCCTCCAGGGCAGAGGCCAGCCCGCCCGAACTGCACCTGAGGTTTCCCTGTGGAGCTGCAGAGCTGCTATCCTTGGATCTGGAAGGAGGGAGCCCGGGAGTGGGAGATGGGGCCCTCTGTTCCTCACTCGAGGGTCTTCCTGGTCCTGGGGAGGCCTCCTCTTCTCAGCCCAAATCGGGGAAGCCTGCTCCACTGCTTACCATCACACCTCCCCCCGCACCTCCTCCTCAGCACTTGTGTGGAAAAGTCCCCTCGTGTCAGAAGTCGTGGGGCTTTCTGTGCATTTTGAAAGCCCATTAACTTGATGGACTCTATAACTCACTGGAGACTTGGGACAAAGAGCCTGGGGCTCATTTTGCACAGATGTTGTCTCTTTGAATACTTTCCCCTCCTCTCCCTAATCTGATGTTGGCAAAGGGCAGTGACCCCTTTAACTGTGACTTTAGCAGGGGATCAGTGCAGAGTCATGTGCAAACCTGCTTCTTATGACTTGAAGAGTGAATAGCTTTTCTGGTTGTTTTCAGCACACGCCAAAGAAGATGAGTCAAGGAACCACACTTTTCTCTTGTGGAATTATGGGTAAGTACTCAAGGCCGTCCTGGGAGCCCTCCTCTGAGTCCCTCCAGCCTAGGTCTGAGTCCTCCAGGTGAGACCCTGAAAGCACTTTCTGAACACAGATTCAGAAAGAGCAGCCCTGGGGACACTTTTCTGTGTGTTTCAACCATGTCCATTCCCAGCAGTGCTGGAGTGGTCCAGGGAGCCGCTGGGGCTGAGTAAGGGGGTAGGCGCTGGTGTGTATAGTTTACAACTCTTAATATGGAGAGTTTCTGTCTGATCGTTAAAGTAATTCATGTTGACTTTTTTCATTCAGAAAATGTACCATAGTGTAAAATAATAAACAAAGACTCTCCTAGCCCCAATATCCCATGATGAGTCCTTGCTGATATTTTTGTGTAATGCTCTTGGTATGCTTTACATAACCTGTTCCACGATGAACATATAATTACATCAAACTATATCTGTTGCTTTCTGTGCTTGGTAGTAACCATTAGGTGATAGCGTTAAAATGCTGGTTCCACGCATTTGGATAGTCCATGGTACTGCACTGTGTGAGTGTTTGGAAATGTCTATAGTGATGTAACGATTTCTTGGCTATTGGTTAAAGGGGCTGTCTTGTCTGCTGTTGTAATTAACAGTGACTGTCTAAGGGTTTAAGTCTCTGTGTGCCTTAAGCTCTTTCCTTAGGCTAGTTCCTAGGAGTAAATAGAAAGGCTGGGACATTTTTAAGACTCTTGATGTGTGTTGCTGATGCGCCTTCCAGAAAGGTTGCCTCCACCTTCTGTTTCTGTGCAAGCGTGAATGACTGTTTTTTATGGGGCAGAAGAGATGACTGTATTGATAATATTGACTTCTCGATGCTTCAGATGATTGGGCGTTGTTTCTCCCTTCTCTGTCTCTCTGTGGGCCTCCTTGTCTCCCTTTGGAGACATCTTGCCGGCTGATTTTCTGTGATGTCAGTGTTGAGTCAAAATTCAGACTTGGATGATGGATAACTACCGTGGGCTTTCAGAATTAAAGTTTGTCTCCGTAGGATGGCAAAAAATCTTTCTTGCTTTTCTTTCTCAGCCCTTTCCCTCTGCGTACCGTGTTTTCTTTTTCCTTAGATGCAGTTTCCATAGATGAGATGATGAGGGTGGAGGAAGTGCTGGGTGTGTCATATTGAGCACGATGCTGGGCGCTGCATCTGGGCACCGCATCCTTATTTGCAGGATCCTGTGGACTCTGTTGGCGGCTTTAGGGACTGGGGATGCTCAGTCACATTTGGGGAAACGGAGACCTGGTGAGGTGACCCTTCCCAAGAACCCTTGTTAGGCAGAATTAGACTCGGACGAGGAAGAAGGAAGATTGTTGGTGGTCCTCTTGATGCTGCCACCCAGAGAAAATGGGAACAGGGAGATCACCTGGTCTTGGTCTGCCCATGTGACACCCTTCTGAGGCCTGTACCCACATAAATAACTGAATACCTCCTTGGTGGTTTATGGCTTTTGCCAAACCCTCAGCACTGCAGCCACATGACCCAGAAGTCTGTCTCATCACCTGCTTCCTGGAGCAGTCTCACAATTGAGCTGCCTTCCTGTGTCATGCCTGAGAGAGAGAATGAGAAGGGCCCCTGGGCACACCCACGCCCTCAATGCTGCCTAGACGTCATCTGTAAACTGGGCCAGACTAGTAAACTGGATTGAGAGATACTGGTCTTTATTTCAAAGCCACTCATGCATTAGGCGTCTTTGCTTTGCGCTGTGTGGGTCGTAATGAGGTAGAGGTCTCGCAGGTTTGTGATGGGAGTGTTGGGGCTCATCTAGTGACTCTGAACCTCTTTTCCAGGCCTGGGCTTCCTCATCAACCTTGTCGGCTTGTTGTGAGGGCTTTGTGGCATAATGTTTATGAAGAGATTAGCACAGGATGAGTATTACATAGGTAAAAAGAAGGCTGAAACCAAAATGAGAATTCTCCCCAAGAATAAGCCTCTACACCCAAACAAAGGGGTTACCTTGGCTTTCTTTGAAGAGAGGGTAGAAGTGAGAGAGTCACCTTTGGTAGGGGCAGTGGCCCTGGAGAAGGGAGGCGTGTGAAGAAATGCCCGATTGCCCAGGAGAATGTGTGAGCCTGGATCCCAGTGACCTGCTTTCTACCAAGGAGGCCCGTGGTTTCCAGGCGGGACTGTGCTACGTCTCCAGACTCCTGTTTACCCAGTGGCTTTTCTGGAAGTGCTGGCCCGATCCAGCATCTCCATCCCAAGCTCTTCCCTTCCACAGGGTCCTGTTTTCCTCCTGCTCTGCAGACCAGCACCAGGGCACTGCCAGGCAGCTGAGGGAGAAGCTGGGAGCAGCTGTGCTGGGAGGAGGGAGCTTGTGGAGTCCCCTCATCCTCCTCTGCTGTTCCCTCTCCCACGGGTCTCATCTTTCTGTGGCTCAGTCCCTCCCTGATTCAGGAAAACCCTGACCTGTGTGACCGAGCAGTGCCAAGGCTTTTTGTTTGCCTCATTTCGTTTTTAGTGGCTTGATTTTGCGGATATTAATTGAGCACCTACCGTGTGTCAGGCACTTGGTGCAGGGATGGAGTAAATTAGACCCTGTCCCTTTCCCCGGGGAGACTTCTGTCTGGTGAGGAAGAAAGATCCAGGAACAGTGAATTCCCCTTGGGTTAAGCCGACTTCCAGGAGATGGCGGAAGCCCTTGGAGCTGTGAGAAAATCACCCCATCTTCCTGAGCGTGGGTTTGGGTTTCTTCAGCTTGCAAGTTGTAGGGAGTTGGTAGAATTTAAAGAAAGGACAGCACACCAGAGGGAGCAGCTCCGTGCCTCCTGCCTCCGTCCCTTTCCTGCACTTGCTGGGGCAGGAGTGTCAGCAGCCAGAGGCCTTCCTAAGGCCGGTGTGTCTCGTGGAAGCTCAGGCTACCTCTCCAGCACATTTAATCCCTGGATTGAGGTTTTGTGGCCTCACCCTGTGCTGCGAACTGGGAGTGCACCCCAGGCAGCAAGATTTCATCTTAGGTGTGCCTGCTTTTCAATGTCGGGGCAGAGAATACTCCGAGGGGCCGGCTGGACTTTTCAAGAGGGCTCTGGGCCCTTCCAGGGCTGGACTATGCTGAGCAAAGATAAAACACCAAATTATCATAATCACCAACCCCAGCCTGTCTCCTGGAGATAAAGGACTCATGTTCTGCTGCTGATCGGTGGAATTCTCCTGTGAGAGCTGGGGACAGTTGGCCCTGGGACTCGGGGCTTTCCCTCTGAAGCCCCCATGCAAGGATCCTAGCTGGAAGCCGCCGTAAGCTGGAGTTTCACAAATGTTTTGAAGGAAATCCGGGCGAGTGCATTAGGGCAGGGAGCACAGAGACCTGCTTGCTGCTTCTTAAAGTGCTACCCTTTCAAGTAACTCAGCCTCCTCTGCACCCACTCAGATAAGATGTGTTACTCATATCAAGTGCTCACACAATAATGTTTTTTTTTTTTGTTTTTTTTTTTTTTAAGTACTTCATACTCAATGATTGTGAGCTGGATTCTAGCTGCTCCCCATCTTGTCCCCTACCCCAGTTTGGGAACTTGATAAAAAAAAGAAGTAGCTTTGTGCTTTTCAAAGTAGGGGAGGGAACAAAGCCAGTGTGAGGTGCGATCGGAGAAGCAGGGCAGAGGGGGGCCAGGTGCCGCCCGGCTGCTGTGTGCCAAGGCTGAGCGCCCCCTGTTAGGGTGCCAGCTCAGCCCTGTGGCCGCAGGGCCCCTGCTAGAGAGGCCATGCTTGGCCTGCTGGCTTCCTTTCTCACCTCCCAGAGCATCCCAGCCCACCTTCTGCACTGAGATAGAATTTCTTCGGCAAACAGCTTCTCGAGGGGAAGAGCCACCTGTGTGGCTGGTTCTTGTGCTCTTGACACAAGAAACACTGGTCAGGTGGCGGCTGTGTGGGGAGGTGAGCCAGCCCCTGCTCCTGGCTCTGATTTCTAGTGGGTGCAGCAAGGGACTGTGGCTGTGAGAGTTGTCCCGTGTGGGGAGAGGCAGGGATTGCACATGGACCCTCTGCACGGGCTGCCCCCTGCCCCTGTCTCCTGCTGTTTGCCATGGGGGACCCTGGGCACACGTGTACTAGTTGAATCTTTTTTGGTGAAACAGAGCAAGTGGGGTGAGAGCAGTCTCCATTCACCACCCTTGGCTAATTGCAGCCATTCAGTGCGTTCTGTGTTACAGGGACAATGGACACCACACATTCCATTTTCCTCACCACTCAGGCGAGGAGAAGACCTGGAAATCACATAATATGTGAGAAAGCGAAGGCAATACCAATTATTTCAAAAAGGCCACGAGGAAAAGACTTGTAAATACAAGTTAATGGATAGAGAACAAAACAATTCATATGCTAAAAAAAATTGGATGGAAACCCATAATTACTTTAGGAGTTATGGTAATAAATTATTTATTAATGTAAATTATTTCACAGGCAAAGAACATAGAGGAAACTTGAGCAGAAGGATCATACATTATGTATAAAAAGGAATTGTAAAAATATTATAGCAGCCCTCCTTGTGCCGCTCCAGTTCAGGTTTGTTAGCATTTTAATTATAAGCCCTCACTTTCAGTGTTTAATTACTTGGCTGTTAAAGTCTCCTGTGCACATAAAAGGGTTGTTCCCGGGGGCACTCCCTGTATTAATTTCTACAGGGTAAACCAGTTGGCTATGTTGAGCTGGGTAGGACTAAGAGATTTCAGTGGGAGATTCAGTAGCTTTTGGTCTTCAAATTCAGCCACTATTTTATGTTGAAAGTGACTGCATCTTGTATGAAAAGACTGGCATTCAGAGGCTGAATGTTTTTGATTTCCTAGAACAAATGAATGAATGAAACGAAATGAATGCCAGCAATAACAAAATCAGAGCTCCTCAGGCTCAGTTTTTGGTCTCTGCCTCCTCTTCCGTCTTTCAGAGATAGCCGTTTTGAATATGCTCACTGGGCCAGCGCTTCCTATAAGAGACTACTTATTAACCAGTATAGGCTAGAGTGAGATTTGTTTCTATTATTTTTATTTTTATT